AGGATTGCCGTCAGCTCCAAGCAATGTTAGACCAATTTGTTGATTGGTGCCGCTTAAACAAGCTTTCCGTCAGTATATCAAAATGTGTGGTCATGACATTTAATCGCACAAGAACGCCTATCGTATTCGATTACTCAATTGATGGATTTGTACTAGAAAGAGTAGAACAAGTAAGCGACCTAGGTGTAATGCTGGACCCTAAACTTACGTTTGACTTACACCGTTCAATGGTAATCACTAAGGCTAATCGTCAGCTTGGTTTTATATCAAGAATCTCAAGAGATTTTTCGGATCCGTACTGTTTAAAAGCACTGTACTGTTCACTCGTTCGTCCGATTATCGAGACTGCATCTGTTGTTTGGACTCTCTACCAACTTTCCTGGAACATCAGAATAGAACGTATCCAAAAAACATTCATTCGTCGAGCATTAAGACAACTTCCTTGGAGAGATCCACTAAACTTACCTCCGTATGCTGAGAGATGTCGCTTGCTAAGCATGGACACGTTACAACGATGGCGACAAATTCAACAGGCAACATTCGTCGCGAAGTTATTAAGTGGTGAAATTGACTCTACCCACTTACTCTCTTGCTTGAACTTTCGTGCGCCAAGCAGATTTCTACGCTCAACGTTCCTATTGCGTCAAGACTCACACCGTTCTTCTTTTGGACAACATGAACCTGTTACGAGTATGATTCGCACGTTTTCTACAGTTGAAGAGTTGTTCGAGTTTGGGGAACCTGCTGCTCAATTCCAGAGACGTATTATTAACTCCAGATACATTTAGTATTTGTTATGGCTTCTGGTTCATTAAGACTTATTGTCAGATGAATGTATTAAATAAAAATAAAAATAAAAATAAAAATAAAAAATAAAAAATTAATTGTTTAAGAAACTGAAAATCTTATGGCACGATTAAGCAACTGTATTGTGGGCAACACTGTATTCTGCAGTGTGACATAGTAGCCATGATTTTTGTCCTCCATTCTACGCGCCATAAACAGCATTGTTGCCTGCTGAACAGTAGATTGAGCATAATAATAAGCCATCAGTGACTTGAATCATTAATAATTTTTGTTCCTTACATTTGATCGAAAAGTGGTCTTCAACAAAGTTGTAGCTGAGAAAGTTTTTAATAATCTCAGCTATCATTTTTTAAAGTAGAGTGAACTGGTGAATTTTGCGATCGTTATGAACCGAAATTATGGTTTCTTCATAGTAATTCGCATAGAAACTTCAAATGGTTTGTGTCAAGTCAGTTTCTCACTAAATGAGTTCATATTTTGGGAGGCTAATCAGGGCCCAATTTGGAACCATTTGAGCACTGTGGAGCGAAAATTTCGAATTTTGCATCAGTCTAGTGGCCAGCCAACCGGTAAAACCAGGGAATCCTGGAAATAACCAGGAATTCTGTGGAAAAACCGGAAAAATAGCAGTATACCTTAACATACGGTCACTTAAATAATAGGTTAAATTTAAATCAAAAAATTCAAGCTCTCCTGGTATAAGGTGTCCCAGAAAGTTTAGGTACAGTTTATTATTGAAATAGAACAACGTTATGATAAAGAACTCAAATTTTTATTTCATATATATGTTCTCTATAGTGTTCTCTTTCAATTGGATGAAAATAATCCGCAGTTCCTTTGATCGTATGTCAAGGAGCGAACTTTTGATCTGACGCTGCCCATGAGCTTCAGCACAGATCCCTTGGTGATAATTTTGGCCATTTTTGTTCAGGATTTTTCACATTATTCGATTGATTTCACTGCCTTAAAGTGTTTCCGTAGATATCCTTTGGAAAGGGCCTAAAAAGTTTTGATTGAGCAGGCCTCCGGACAATTCGGAGGATTCATCTCTTTTGGCACGTATTGCACTTTATTTGGTTTGTACCAAGCTACCGTGTCTTTCGAGTAATGCATTGACATCAAGTTGGACCAAAACAGTACTGGGCGATCATGTTGACGGATCATGGACCGCAGACGCCGATTCAAACACTCCTGAACGTAAATTTCAGTGCTCCTTCGTTACAAATGGCTATGACAACTTGCCACACTCACAAATCGCTTGCCGAACCATTTTCGTTAAAAATTGACTGATCGGCATCGTCAACTTCCTGACCATCACAGACAGTGTAATATTGGTCTCCCGGATGCGTCTTGTAATCAAATTTGACTAAATTTCCACACAGCAGGCTATCGTATAGCTTCAGAGCACTCGGTTTGACGGATGCGTATCTGACTCCGTTTCGGCTTCTTCTGCTTCTTGAACGTTTTCAACCCTTTGCTTGCCTTGGCACGTGGTACGTTACTCTTCGATGTTCTCAGTTTTTGGCCAAATCTCGAACAGAGGCACTTTTTTTTATTGACAGCTTGGGTGATCTTCCGGTCCAGTTTTCGGTCCACCGACATCGATGTGTCCTTTAAGGTAACTTCTTCACCGAACTTCCGGATGGCGGTTTGGGCTGCTCCGATACCTACTTCCTCTACTTTCACCAGCTTCCTTACTGAGGTTGGGAATAGTGCACGATCTGTTTGCACTTTTCCGTGGAATTCGTAAACAACGACACACATCGATGAACAGCTGATAAACATCATCGGGATAGAAATGGCGGGGTAGTTGAAAGTGTGCTTATACTATCTGCACACGTAGTTTTTTCTACCGAGCTCGGCTGTGCAAATCTCGGCAAAAATAAATTTCACTGAGATATCAGTAAAAGTGACATTTGATTGCTGAGTCTCGGATAATGTCGTGGGGTGCGACAAAATCTCAATTTAAGATCGTCAAAAAATCTGACGATAGCGAATCAATCTACGAAAAATCTTCACCAAGGAAATCTTCATCAATCTTCCTTCTATCTAATAAGCGTGCGCGCATCAGCAAAGCATTTTTTCCCCTGTATCTTAGATAGAGTCGCTCCCTTCGGATAATGCTTAGCTGAATCTCAGCAAACAAATTAAATGTTTGCTGAGATCTCAGTAAAACCAACCGGTGGAAACTAACGATTTTAAATTGGCTCACTACTTGACTAGCCTATTGGTCCCAAGCAAATCGATTGACGTACCCCATTCTAGTCGAAATTCTCGTACTACACTGTGTTTGTTTTGATTCGCTATGAAAGTTTGACAGATGAAATGAGGGGTTCGTGGATTTCCAATTGATTCGAGGAGTGCATCGATTAGCTTGGGACAGAAGAGAGTACCAGAGCTGAGCCAAAAAGTTGAACACGTTTCTTCGGTTCAAATTCCCCTTGGAACTCTGTTATAGCAACTACTACAGTAACTCTCCTTATCGGCAATTTTAAGTCGTCAGTTGGCGTGAAAATCGTGAAAGGTTAAATCAGAAAACAACACATAAAATTCACAAACATGAAGCCACGAACAAGGTTCAACACTTCGCAGTGTCAAGTGTCCATCACACCACCCGAAAAACAAAACAAATTGTTTTTTACTACCTTGTTTGCAATGCGCTTCGATTCAATTGTTCGCCAAACACCCACGCCGCTGCTGTGTGCAAGTTGACGGTTTGTTGCAGTGCTGTTGTATTGCTGCTTAGTTATTGTCCCAGCTGCACCAACACCACCACCACCACCATCACCGAAGCCGTCAGAAGCCGCCATGCAATGTAATCGAACATGACTTTCGCAGAGCTGTCAGCGCGCCATGTTTTGAGCGATATTCGACACTTGAATCTGGGAATTGTTCACCAAAGTTAGTGTGTTACAGAATTGATTCACGGGGATTTCCAACTCAAATGTAGCGATGTAAATGATGCGCTGTAGACGTAGGTAGGTAGGTGTAGGATCTGTTTCTCACGCTAGTTTGATGGCGAAAAATGGATTTTGAGCACGAGGCTGAAACATTCAGATCGTGCCACGGCGTTGGGGTGTTTTGAGGTAATACATACATTTGGTTTACATTGTCGCTAGCACTACAGTAAGCTTTCTTTTACTACTATTTACCTATCTTCTTTGAATATTCCAATAACCTGTTTAATGCCCTGGCAAATTGTATAGTTTCTGCAGTCATCAAAATAAAATCATAAACATGACTTTGAGAAATGCTTCGTGTGTCCTAGGATCAAAATCCAAGAATCCACAAAAAAAGACAGTCTAAAGGAGACGCACGGTAGGGCAACTGAAAGCTTCATTCAACAGCTCAACCTGCCTCGCTTCAACAGAGCCAATGAAAGTTCGTTTTACGGCGATCGTTAGCAACTTCCGAAATTACTCTTCTGATTTTTCACCCACACTGAACTGAACAGCTGCGGGGGCAGGTGAGTGCCACACAAAGCGTCAATGATGCCCCAGTTTTATTGTCTCGAAAGTTTGTTTTTGGCCTCCGCTCCTTCAACTTCCACTATCAAGGAAGGATTTTTTTTTTCGTTCAAATAATTAGGGACCGTCCATAAACCACGTAGACATTTAAGGTGCAAAGGTTTCGCAAGTGTCGACGGTTCATAGAACATTTGGAAAAAAATGTTATCTAAATACGTAGCTTACGGACAATCCCTTACCTGTATACACGTGTAACACAAAGTAACCGCTGACAACGGGCCTGACTTGACTAGCGTGCGTGACTGCCCATGTTTTCACAATCCACTGCCTACTGGGATCGGTGTTTTGTTGTGGTATGTGTGCCGAAATGTGGGTTTTTCCCACATCGAACTACCCTGCTCGAACTCGCTCAGGTTGACCCCTTTTTTCAACCTACAATTGAAAAGGGCCTTTCGGTTTTGTAAACACAAATTGAAACGCCCTTTTTGCGCGAACCGAATCTCGCCTACACAAATCAACAACACCATCAGGCTGGGGCGAATTTTCCCCACCCATTGGTGTTGTTCGTTTGCATAGGTAAGCTTCGGTTTGCGTGAAAAGGCCATTACAAGTTTGTTTACAGTAGCTGATTAGGCCCTTTTCGATTGTTGGTCGATAGTTAAATACTTTGATTGCAGTCCTAGATCGATTCCAAGGGACAACAAATAAGCAAAGTGAAAAACTTACCGAATTTTCCGCTTCCACCTTTTGATTGCCTTGCTGCTCTTGCGGTTGTTCCTGTTGTTGTTGTTGTTGCTGTTGTTGTTGTTGCTGTTGTGGTGGTGGTTGTGGTGATTGTGAAGAAGGATGATGGGGCTGATTTCGAAGGCTTGGGGAACATTCCGTGTCGCTGTGTCCAGTGTCGGATGAATCCTGCTGAACGGTTTGGCCGAGGAAGATCTTGATGTTGATGCGGGAGTCCTTGCCCTGCTTTAGGGCTTTCTTGATGTGTTCGCTTGATTCGATACTTGGGTGGAAAGGGATTGAAAAGTGGGATTATCTTTGTTTATTTGGGATGACCTTTTTATGTGATTCAAGAAAAGATAGTGATGCGAAACTTTTGCTATGATCGAATTTTCGAACATCATAGTCAAATATACAGTTATTTGCTACACCGACAACCATTTTAAAGCGTCTAGTATCAAAGTTGAGGAAGTTAATCTATTGCATCTCAAAATCAAGCGGCATTATTTTATTGTGCAAGTGCCATAATCTCGGTATTTGTGTTCCATTCTCTAGAAATAAAATGGAAGGGCAAAAGTCTAGATGAGGAGAGATGATTGATTTCTATAGCTGTATTTTAATGGCAATAGTTAAATCGTTTTTCATTCGACATAGAATTCCATACTTCTTTGGCAATTTTCTTGATGACATTGTCAATGTGAGAGTTGAACTTAAGTTTGTCATCTATAATCACGCCAAGATATTTAATCTCCCACACGCGATCAACATTCTCATCATCAATTACAACAGAGACGTTATCATTTACTCGATTCCGCGAAATTACCATGAATTTAGTTTTACTTATATTCAATCACAATTGCAATTCAACCATCTACTTAGAGAATGCAAATCTTCATTCATGTGCAAAACGGCTTCATCTAAATCCTTAGCTGCATCTGCAAAAAGATTAATGTCGCAAAATTGTAAACACATCGCAAGTCATTAATATACATAATAAATAAAAGGGGCCCTAATACACTGCCATGGGGCACTCCAAGGTTATTCCCCACGGGGCTTGAAACAGTATCATTAAAAAAAAAGTCCGTTGAGTCCTGTCACACAAATAACTGTCAATCCATTTATATGCAGTATTCGTAATTGCAAAGCGCTAGATTGATCGTAACAATAAGGGCCTAGAAACTGTTTCAAACGCGTTTTTTAAATCCAAAAAAACAGCAACAACTGTGTCTTTACGATCCAATTTATCTTTCCACTTCACTAATACCAAATTCAACGTGGGTTCACAAGAATGACTTTCTCGATATCTCGATTATTCTGATATCAACAAACTATTACTATTTAAATACTCCAACTGCTGGCCTTCCACAAACAAGTTCTAACATTTTCTCTAATGTGTGCAACATGTTGATTTGATGAAACTCTTCGGCTTTATTCGTTCCAGCAACTTTTTGAATAGGAACCACTAACGATTCCTTCCAAATTTGTGGCATGAGTTTATATATCGATTGTGAATATTTATTTCGCACGATTCTGTACCTCTTCCAATGATTGTCACTATTTGATCTACAAAATGTTTTGTACCATTTCTAGATAGAGCTGGAATTAAGGCCTAACAGCTTTTGTAAACAATAACTTCAATCGATGATTTCTAGAAATTCAAGGCTCGCCCACGCAAACCAACCTCCTCATTGGGTAGGGAAAGACTTCCCCTATCCGATAGTTATGTTGGTCTGCGTGGGCGTGCCTTGAGTTTCTAGAAATCATCGATAGAAGTCATTGTTTACAAAAGCTGTTACGCCCTAATTCCAGCTCTATCTAGATTTGTTTAAGACGCAAAAGATCCAAATTGTACCAGCTGTTCGAGTTTTACAAAGCAACAAACTTTTGCTCAACTTATTGATTTTTACACGTTTTTAAAGCATTAGTTAGAACAGCTGTAGATTTATCTAAATTCGGTGGTGGGGTCTCCCAAGCATCGTCTTCAGGCAAGTATGCATACATTAGTTACAGTCATTTGCCCGATCAGTTTCCGTGTTCCAGTGCAACGCTTCAAGCACCTGCCGGCTGTTTCCAGTTGAGAAGCACATCTGATACTGCTCATTCACAACATCCGCTTTACTGTTCGAACAATCCTAATTCATCTCCGGGACGCACAATAGACCGCTCTTTGGAAGCTCCTGATTACTCCAGCCCAGTCGTGCCGATTCCCGCCAGCGTTCAGCATAGTCGTCCTGGACCTGTGGCTGGATATGAATCAGGAGTCTTCCACCTTGCCTCTACAAGCAAGTACAATCAATATATTGACTATTCACTGCCTGACGCCGATCAAATTTTCAGCAATTCCGACTATGTTAGTCATTGTGATGATGCCTCTGTAACTCCCAATCCTGGCAACCCGGAACGCGCCGTAGAAAGCCCCATGGAAGCCCCCAAGCCATCAGCAGCCTTCGTTCATCATAGTCGTTCCGGACCTGCTGTCGGATGTGAAGAGGGGGTCTTCCAACCCACTCACTATGGCGAGTATCCAATGAGACTTGATGATGGTCAGTTATTGCCTGATGTATCTGTGATTTCCAGGGAGAGCAGTCGTTCGATTCCTTGCCGCAAGCAGGACGTCGTGATCTTCTACCAAAACGCCGGTGGAATGAATTCTGATGTTGAAGAGTACTGCCTAGCTGTATCGGATCGTTGCTACGATATTATTGTCCTGTGCGAAACGTGATTATCGAACGCTTTCCAGTCAAGTCTTCGGTCCTGACTACGAGGTCTTTCGTTGCGATCGGAATCCTAACAACAGCCGTAAATCTACTGGTGGAGGTGTCCTTGTAGCTGTCCGTAGCGGGTTGGAGGCAAAGGCCATCGAGAACGATTCATGGAACTATGTGGAGCAGGTTTGGACAGCCATCAATCTGGGTGATCGCACACTATTTCTATGCGCACTGTACATTCCACCTGATCGAGCCCGCGACAATGAACTCATCGATACTCACTGTCGGTCAGTTTACACAGTTGTCGAAAGTGCCACTCCAGTTGATGAGATTTTCATTTTTGGTGACTTCAATCTGCCAGGCGTTTCGTGGAGTCCATCTCATAGCGGATTCCTCTACCCAGATCCTGATAGCTCTACATTTCACGCAGGAGCTATTAGCCTTCTCGACAACTACAGCGCAGTGACGCTTTCTCATATTAACCATATTATTAAGCACACAGGACAGGGCTCCATCAATTTCCTCGGCTCCTTGTGCACTAACTAAGCTAGTTCCACATCACCCTTCTCTAATTGTCACTGTTGAGGACAAACTCGTGCGTGATTTCGACGACTATCCTGCTACGGTTTCTTATGACTTCCGTAAAGCTGACCACCGTAGCATCATAGATGTATTGTCTAGCATGGTATGGGAGAACATCCTTGATCCAGATGACGTTGAGGCTGCAGCGCAAACCTTTTCACATGTCTTGGCATATTTCATTGACAGACACGTCCCGAAAAGGACTCACCACAAAGTGTCTCACCCTTCCTGGCAGACGAGAGAGCTACGTAGGTTGTAGTCAATCAAGAGAGCAGCATTGAGAAGATTTACGAAGTATCGCACACTTCCTCTGAAACTACATTATGTGAGGCTGAATCACATGTACCAGCGAGTCAGTCGTGAATGATTTTCAAGTTTCCAACGAGGCATCCAGCGCAAACTTAAGCTACACCCGAAATCCTTTTGGAACTACGTGAACGAGCAACGCAGGGAATCCGGCCTCCCATCGTCTATGGAATTCAACGGAGAAGTTGCTGCCGAGCATTTCCAGCCCAAAACGCAAACCGGTTGGTCATGAGTGTTTCCGATTTGAATGAAACATTTCTCACGTGTTCGCTGCTACTTATGGTTGCATTTTTCATTTAAATATGATTTTTTCCTCCAGAGTAACTTTTGAAAAGGGCGTATAAAAAAATGGATTATTTTTTTTTCAAAAAATCATTACTTGAAAACTATTGATCTGATTAAAACGGCATATGAAAAGAAGTTTTAGGTAATTAAATTATCTTTGCGGAAAAAATACACTGAAAGAAAAAACTTCGTAAATTAGTATTTAAAAAACGTAAAACGATGATTATCTCAAAACACCCCCCCTTCGATATTTATAATTTTTTTTTTCAAAAAAACTGAAATAATGCCCTATTATTTGGTGAAAAGTGTATGCTGGTAACTTTCTTAAAAAAAAGCTATAATTTTTTAAATTTTTGTTGATTTTTACAAATTGATGAAAATGCATATTTTTTTATAAAATAATAATTTATTTGGATTCTACGCATAAATTTCGATAACTTTGCATATAAAAACTTTTTTCCTAAGTCCAGCCGTTCTCAAGTTAATGCAATTTAAAAAAATAATTATAATAATTTTCTACATTTTGGGCCATTTTCAAATGTTAGTCGTGATGTCCAGCAACGAGATGTTTTTCCATGAATATATATTAAAAAAACAAACAATTCATTCTCAAATATGGTAGCTGTCAGACTTACCCGTTTCTATTTAGACGCAGCAGAAAAGAAACAAGTTTATAAGTAAATACTCTCAAATATACCCAAATAATCAACAAACCCACTCATGTGCCTTTTTTCTGTCCTCTATTAGTTGTATACCTGGATAGAATTGTGTATGTCATAACAGAGGCTCAAAACATTAACAGGTAAACAAATATGTTATTAAACCTGAATTGAGATAAATTCTCTAGGTACTTCTCTGACGTATACCATATTGTGCCTTAAGAGCACCCCGTGGAGGCTTCTTACACTCACACTTTAAAAAGTTTGCTATAATCAATTGTACCTAATGAAGATAGGTATAATGTCAACATTGTAATTATTCTGCTACATATATATATATATATATATATATATATATATATATATATATATATATATATATATATATATATATATATTGGGACGTTCTTCACCTGTTCTGTATCCGCTGATTTGCCGCAGATCCCGCCTCTCAAGGGTGAACAAACTGGCTGTCTACAAACAAATCATAGCACCTGCGATCTTCTACGCAGCTCCGGTGTGGGAATCATGTGCACAGACTCACAGGAACAAAATTCAGGTCACTCAGAATAGAGTGCTGAGGATGGTACTTGATCGTCCTTTCGACACTAGAATAACAAATTTACATGAAGAGGCAGGCATTGCCAAAATAGATTCCCGAATTAACGAAATTAAGACTAAATTTGCACAAAAATGTATTTTATCAGAACATGTATATAGTAGTTGTAGGTTAGTTGTAGTTG